GTTGTGCATCAATAGCAGCAACAGCTTTTCCAGGTTCTGTAGTCCTTTGAAAAAATTGTAGAGACATCCAGCACACTCCATTTTTTTTTACAAAAAAACAAACAAAAACAAAAACAAACAACAACAACAACAAAGTAAAAAACAAAATCCCAGAAGACAGCACAGTTCTGTTACTCTTATGGTTCTTGGCATGTAGTAAGTTTTTTCCATCTCCAGGGACTAGCCAGCCCAGCAAAGCCTGTCTTCCCAGGATCAGTCAGGCACCAAGATTGGAAAATATAAAATCTAGAAATTAGAAAACATGGTGCTAGCACTTAAGAATAGATACTAGCCCAGACTCTCCATTCTCATGGCTAAACTTTGCCAAAAAACTCTGCAAACCACAGAAAATCTTTAAATCCGGGAGGGATACTAGAGCAGATCTTACATGGGACTTTTGGGAAAGGCACAATGTACCAGTAATTAGAGTTACAAAGAAATATGTGGCAAATAAATAAATGAATCAGCAATGATCTTTTTCATAAAAAAGAAAAAAAAAACCAAGCAAACTAAAATAGTGAACAGGAATATATTCCTCATTGATTTGGCAAAGAAGATGGAAAGTTGGTCAAAATGATATTCAAGTTATACTCACAACTATTTTATACTAGAGGGGGAGTTATAAATTATTATTATTGTTGTTTTATTTTATTGTGCTGTTTGTGGCAGGGTCTCATGCAACCCAAGCTGGCTCAAGCTTACTATGTAGCTGACATTGACCTTGAAGTTCTGATCCCCCTGTCTTTACTCTCAAGTGCTCTGATTACAGGTGTGCACCACCACACCTAGTTTATGCTGTGCTAAGGTCTGAGCCCAAGGTTTTGTGCATGCTAGACAGCCATTCCAACAACTGAGCTACATCCTCAGTTCCTATAAATTTATTTTAAAAATATCACTGGGGTGCTGTTTGGAAAGAGCTATCAACATTCTTAAAAGTACACACTGATTTACAATGTTTACGTCTAGGAAATTATGAAGGGGACAGAATAAGAGACGTCCCAAGAAAGTCAATGTGGTTGTCATGATCATGCTTCCTATACAGTCAAAGTGTACATGTATTGGATTTTTCTCAACATACTGACATCTGTTCTACCAAGTTTTGGGTTGTCACCTATATGGGACTAGGTCAGGAGGTGTGGCTTGTGGCTTGATCTCTAGTGACTCTATCTCTGTGACTCCATATCAACAAATCACCCATCACAGAATTAGCTTGACTCAAACATCACCATGTGTTTCTACTTGCATCATCTCTGTTAACCACCATCACAGCTCATGGGGAGAGGCATCTCATTTTTGAGGTGAATAAAATGGTCTCATGTAAAAGAATAGTTAAATTCTCTGGGATAAAACTCAAGAGTGGACCCAGGCAAACTCAGCATGTTCAATTACAAGGTTGTTCCTCAGCCCAAGGACCCTCCACTGCTAGGACATTCTTGTCTTCAAGCCTTCTGGTCTACAGAGGTTAACTGTAGACTCTTGCTCCTTTCAATCAGGACTCTAGATGACAGAGCTGATCTGAGGCTGTTCTTCAGAGGAGGTGTATGTTCCAGCTTCAAAGCAGGTATTCCTTTTATCCTAACACAAGGTGGCTTCACATACTGCCTTCTGTCTGGCCCCTTGGGCTTGGGACCCATCTCGTCCTTGCCCAGGACCAAGAAAAGAGCCCAGCATCTTAGCACTGCTTTGCCAGTTAATGTCTAACTCAGGAATGTCTTGCCACCAAAAGGTGAAAAACAGAGACCTTGTATTTCCAGACACAGGTGTGACCCCCAATGTCAATCAAAAAATAGCAGTCTCATGGGTTGGAAAAGGTGAACACTGCCAAAAGGAAAGAAAAATTCTACAGGAATGTCTTGCCACCAAAAGGTGAAAAACAGAGACCTTGTATTTCCAGGCACAGGTGTGACCCCCAATGTCAATCAAAAAATAACAGTCTCATGGGTTGGAAAAGGTGAACATTGCCAAAAGGAAAGAAAAATTCTACCCCCACAGAAACAATCTTAGGATCAGAAGCAGAGAATAATTGGAGGAGAGCGTGCCAGCCAAGGGCAGTTGTGTATATATTGATCAGAAGCACTTACTTAGGAATGGACCAGTCCTGTCTTCCTGGGTTCAGGTAAGGCTATCTGGAGCCATCATCTCCTGTGTCCACTTCTCTCCTATCTATCCCCATTCTCCTTGAGGCAGGTGGCTGAAGAAATTCAGCTTCTGGACACTGGGGTCAGAGCAGCAAGTCTCATTTCTCAACTGATTGTCAACTTTGTGATCTGTGATATGTCAACCTCTCTTAGAGGCTAGCTATTTTTCCTTCAATCAGAAGTATTCATGAAGCATATGCTATGTGCTAAGTACTGGTGTTATGGCAGTTAACAAAAGTATAGGCTATGTGCTGAGTTTTTACATATGTCATTTATGTTAACCATGGGAGTGCCACAGTGCTTTCCAAACTACAGTAGGTCATGAGATCATGTGATTTTTATTAGAATTTTCTTCATTAAATAGACAATGTCATCAAGCAACAGACATTGTAAGGATAAGCATTATCTTATAAAACTTTTATCTATCTATCCATCTGTTTTTTGTGTTTCTTATATCTCAGATTCAGAAGTCTAAAAAATATTTGTTTTTAAAAATATATTTATTATTTTTATTTATGTTAGTGTGTGTGTAATTGCATGAATTTATGGGCAACATTTATGTACATTTACCCTAAGAGCTAGAGGGTGCTGAAATTCCTAAAACTGGAGTTTCAGACAGTTATGAGCTGCCTACTGTGGCTACTGGGCACCTGATCCAGGTCCTCTGCAAGAGCAGTGGGCACTGTTAACTACTGAGCTATCTCCCCAGCCCTGAGAACATTTGTTCTTGCACACAAGTTATTTGAGTATAGAACTAGGCCTGACATCATCTATACACCAGTTGGTGGAAGAGGTGGTCCTCATTGCATAGATAAGAAGACCAGAACACATCACCTGGTGTCACAGTGCTGTGATAGGTAACACAGGGACTGGGCTCTGTTTCAGATCAGTTCCCAAGTGTTTACCTCTGATGCCACCCTAGCTTGCTGCATAAAACTTAGGGAATACTTGCATCCATCTAGAATTATTTTACCTGTTGCAATCACAATCATTTTGAAAACAGTAATATGTACTATTGTTAAGCTAATCATCTCTAGAGTTCCGTATATTGTGTCATTTCTTTACATAACCTGTGTGAAGATGTTAACTGTATTCATGATTCTCCTTGGTATTTAGCTCTTTGTTTGGCACAGAGTAGCCAAACAAAAAATGTTTGTTGAATGAGTAAGAAGGTATGAGAAAACTGTAAGTTCAGATATCAGGAGCTGTCTGTAAAAGCCCTCTAATAAGGTTGTGAGTACACAGCACCACCCCATCTTGTGATTTTTTTACTCCAAACAAAAGATTCAATTCTTAAAAATGTGTAATACATGGAGTTTGGGTGGATGGGTCATGAGTAAGGAGTAGGGCTGTGTCCACAGATGCTTCAGAAACCCACCAAAGCTAGAGCTGCAGCACCACACTTTTCCTGATCCATATAAATGGTGCCTTCTCATCTATACAGATGTTGCTTCCTCGTCCACATAAATGGTGCACAACCGAAGCATCCCTTCTGTCTGTGGGGAGGGGCATTTGCTCCACATGTGCCTCGCTCATGCCTGTTCTCAGGATTTCAGGCATCAGAAACACAGGGGAAAACACATAACCCACCATTACCTTTGGGCAGGTGTTTCCAGGACCAGAAATAGAGGGAAGAACAGGAAGGATGAGGCAGCTGTTCTCTTTGCCCTGGATACTGATGGTAATGTTGGTAACCCCTTGGTTCACTGCAGTTGGAGCCAGTAACTCATCAGAAGCAAGTAAGAGTGCATGTATGTGTGCATGTGTATGTGTACATGTGTATGTAGTACTGTTTCCTGTGCTTAAGTAAATCCTTAATAAGTAAATCCTTAGTTAAGATTAAGCATCTTTTAGCACATTTGACATGATCTTTATTCTAAGCCCATTTTGTGGATTGTAATGTGCCCAGGACTTACTTTTCTTACTTGTAAGTTTTGCTAAGATAAAAATTCTGGTTTAGTATGTCTGATAAGGGGGCCCAAGACTTTGAATTAATACCCAGGTTGGGTGATGCTGATGTTGGGGCAAAGGGCTAGAACATCTCTGAATCTTTCCTGCACTTCACTGTAAAGTCACAAACATGTCCAGATCCATAGGAGATTTCAACAGCCCCAAATGGCTCACCGGCACCTCTCCTTTAAGTGTGGGTCATTCCATGGGGCTTCCATCCTGGAGTACTCTGGAGTCACAGTAAATACAATTGTGAGGTCTTGGTTAAAGCACATGTTCTGTGGCCATGCCAAGCATGTGTATCATGTTTGGCAACTTGTGAGGGACTTACTCCTTCTGAATCTCAATGTTCATGCCTGTGAATAAAGATAAATTAAAACAGTGCCACTGGTAAGTAAGGTTCAGAATGACAAGTGCAGATCTTCTGTCAGACATGCAGTTAAGTAAGGAACACTAAACAACAGCTCTTTTCTTTTCACTGTTGAAAGCGAGTGTTAGTGTCCTGTCAAATGGGCTGAGAACAGTCTTCAGAGAGAAGGGACACTGGACGGGGTTTGGTGAAGGCTGCACAGGAAGAGAATTGGATCTGGGCAGAAGGGACAAACTATTGAAAAGGCTGGGAAGGGGTGGCAGCTTATTGTGGCATCCTTCACAAATATCAAGAGTATTGTGTGTTATGACCACAGATGTGACAATGGGGACATTTTAAAAGAAGGCACAAAAGGAAGGTCATGTTTAACTAGATGAAGAATCTACTCAGGAGAGGCAGGGTGGGTGGGTTTCAAAGGTGTCAGTAAGGTAACAAGTCCTTTGAGAAGCAGGGAAGAATCTGTGCTCAGACATCTGCCCAGCTGCCCGGGGTTCTGAGGTTGGGATCTTCTGTCCGCAGAAAAGTGTTCCGAATGCCACAATAATGCTACCTGCATGCAGGTTGGAACAGCTACAGGATGTTCCTGCCTGACGGGCTTCACTGGTGATGGGCTGGAGTGTGAGGATGTGGATGAATGTGCCATCCCTCGAGCTCACAACTGCTCTGACAACAGCATCTGTGTGAACACACTGGGTTCCTATGACTGCACCTGCCAGGATGGCTTCCGTCTGACGCCTGAGCTGGGCTGCACTGATGTGGATGAATGCACAGAGCTGGGACTCAGTGACTGCCATGCCCTAGCCACCTGTGTCAACACGGAGGGCAACTACTCGTGCGTGTGTCCCAAGGGCTATGAAGGGGATGGCTGGCATTGTGCATGCTCCCCAGGCTCCTGTGGGCCAGGGCTGGACTGCTTGCCCCAGGGCCCGGATGGAGCACTGGTGTGTGAGGACCCCTGCAATGTGCACAAGACCCTGGCTGAGTACTGGCGCAGTGTGGAGTATGGTGCTGGATACTCCTGTGACTTAGATCTATACGGCTGGTACCGGTTCACAGGCCATGGTGGTGTGAGGATGGCTGAGACCTGTGTGCCGGTCCTGCGATGCAACACAGCTGCACCCATGTGGCTCAATGGCTCTCATCCTTCGAGCAGAGAGGGCATCGTGAGCCGCACAGCCTGTGCGCACTGGAGTGGCCACTGCTGTCTGTGGTCCACACAGATCCAGGTGAAGGCCTGCACAGGTGGCTACTATGTTTACAACCTGACTGCGCCCCCCGAATGCAATCTGGCTTACTGCACAGGTGAGATTAGCAACGCCCTACATCCTTAGTCTGCAGGAGTCTTGAGGCACAAACTGGTGACTGTGTATGTCTTGGTAATATTGCAGATCCTATCTCCGTGGAGGGGACTTGCGAAGAGTGTGGGGTAGACGAGGTTTGTGTATCTGATAACGGCAGATGGCGCTGCCAGTGTAAACAGGACGTCAACATCACAGGTGAGACCCAGAGGGATATTTGTTGAGAAAATGATCAGTGCTTAAGAGTGAGGCTTATGCTTGTGTGGGCCTGTGACTAAAGGACAAATATCCAATCAGTAAGAAGGAAAGGTCACTAATAGCCTGGGCTGCTTTGGGCTTCTCCTCAATTGGCTCCAAAGTAGGGACTGGGGGGACCTCTTCCTACCCAGTTCCTTCTTTGGTTTTGTTTTGTATTTTATTAATTTATTTATTTGTATTTTATTTACATTGATGTTTTGCCTACATGTAGGTCTGTGTGAGGGTGTCGGATCCTCTAGAACAGAGGTTACAGACAGTTATGAGCTGCCATGTGGGTGCTGGGAATTGAACCTGGGTCCACTGGAAGAGCAGCTAGTATTCTTAACTGCTGAGCCATCTCTCCAGCCCCCTAGTTCCTTCTTTTTGAGGACCCCACACCATGACAAGCCCACCAGGTAACCAGAAGCTACAGAGCCACTTGGCACATCAGAAACTGACTACAGCAGTCCTGTGTGGCCAGTGTGGGATGCCGGGCATGGTACTGGTCCTCTCTCAGCCTGATTCTTCATGGTGTCACTGAAGACAACTAAATCTTTTCCAGACTTGGGTCACGTGTCATGATGATGGTCTGATTCTGTGTATATCCAAGCACTATATGTGTGGTGAATGTTATAATGAACACATTCTTCTCCAACTTGTTGGGATTGTCTCCTTGAGCTTGATTCAGAGTGTGGGTGGCCATGCTGCATTTGCAAGTGACACCTCACAAAGTTAACAGTAAAAAGGAACACAATGGAAAGGAAGTCATTACATTTCTACAGATGTATAGTATAGTGCTTCAGCAAAATACTTAACACTAAAAAATGAAAAATTAAGAAAAACGTCAAAAAGTGTGTGTGTGTGTGTGTGTGTGTGTGTGTGTGTGTGTGTGCATCATATGTGAGGAGTGGCTCAAGAGCCATGGCACATCTGTGGAGATTGGAGGACAACATGTGGGAATTGGTTCTGTTTTTCTACTATATAGGTCCTAGGGACTGAACTCAGGTAGTAAGGCTTGTCAGCAAATCCCTTTACCAGCTGAGCCACCACACCAGCCCCCAAATACTTGAAAAATATTCCCTACTCCAAACCCCGAGCCTGCTCTTTGTCTAAGAGGGAAACTAATCAGCATATATCATCAGAATCACTGCCAGTGGGGGGCTGGCACCTGGAGTAGCAAGGATACCAAAGAATGGCAATCAACACTTTCTTTTTCTCTTTCATCTGGGTTCAATGTTGTTTAGCCAGTGAAAGGCCCTCAGACTATCTTACATTTTGTATACAATCCACTGTTAAGGGAACATGAAGCTGGACGGCTGGTGGTTGGACCCACACATTGATGTTCATAATTCAATTTTGTCTGATGGGAGACTGTGATTAGCCCAAGGCATCTTAAGTGCCACCATCTGGTGGCCAGCCCAGCAATCATGCTGGGTCCCTGGGGACATGTCTGGCCATGGAGGAATAGGCTCCTAATCATGTTCCTGGCCTTTTCAGATGTCTCCCAACTGGAGTACTGGCTAGAGTGTGGGGCCAATGATATCAAGATGTCCCTTAGCAAATGCCAGCTGCAGAGTCTGGGCTTTATGAAGGTCTTCATGTACCTGAATGACAATCAGTGCTCAGGCTTCAGTGAGAAGGGTGAAAGAGACTGGATGTCCGTGGTGACCCCTGCCCAGGATGGCCCCTGTGGGACAGTGTTGAGGGTAAGTTCTTGCCTTTGGTGACATCAGGGTTGGAGTGGTTGGTGCCTATTTAAGCCCTAAGTACACACCTTGTATGATCTTCTGGTGAGTTGTTTGACCCATGACTAAATAACTTCAACATGGAGGGATTGCTACTTCTCTGTAGGGATGCTAGGATTCAATTAATACATGTGTCTGGTGTGAGCTTGATCTATCTATAAGGATGACTCACCATTCTAAAGATGGGAAAGGAAGAACTAGTTTGCCAGTGATGGCTTCTAACAACTAAGGTTAATACTGGGACCAGAAGCAAGCCTGCCTGTGTCCAGGGATCCCGAGAAGAGCCTCACCCCTAGAGGCCTCTGTGGAGATCAGCTATTAAATGCTGCCTCCTTCATCCCTGGAAGGAAAAATTGGGAGGAGCAAAGGTAAAGGAAGGAAGGAAGAAATTGCCATTGTCAAGGACAATGTGAAATGAAATTAGTAATAACTTGAATATTATTAGTGATAGCTTGCATATGATTTTCAGTTTGGACTGCAGTTTTGAAACTAGTCCAGGTTTTATGGAGTATTCATGCCACCATTCAGGTTTTATAGATCCCATGCTCTGCATGGGCATACTGAGTTCTCAGGAACTGTGAACCTCCACCCCTTCATCCATGAAGCAGGGATTTAGCAGTCCTGCCTCTTTATGCCATTGGAAGCATTGGTAGGATGATGCAGGAGGAGAATGAAGGTCAGGGCCTGGAACATGACATCTGCCCCTAAAGTCACTGCTATTCTAACACAGAGACTGGGAGGGCAGCTTTCAGGAGTCCATAGATAAATACACTGGCTATAAAACCCTGCCTAGGGTCTCATGTCCCTTTCTCCTACTCCTCTTCACCCACTACAGACAAATGAAACCCATGCCACCTACAGCAACACCCTCTATCTGGCAAAGGAGATGATCATTCGTGATGTCAACATCAGAATCAACTTTGAATGCTCTTACCCCCTGGACATGAAAGTCAGCCTGAAGACCTCCTTACAACCCATGGTCAGGTGTGGCCACCAATAATGACCTCCAGTGCTCCTGGGAGGCTTCACCCCTCAGCCCCTCAGCTCCTCAATCTCTCATCTCCTCAGCCATGAGATCTTCAGTTGCCCTTACAAGTAGGAGCTGAATTTGGAGTCTGGAGAGCAGGCTTGCTTAGTGGGGACACCTAGTGAGGAATTTCAGAACCCAGATGATTCCAACTTAGACTCTGCCATATATTAACTGGATAGCCTTGGTAACCCATAACAACCATACAACTGTTGTCCTCATTTGCCAAGGGGCTTTAACAATGCTTGCATGGCCTTTCTTAGGACAGTGATGTTCTGCAAAGGGGGTTTCTGGAAGGAAGGGTGACCCTGCTTCTGGAGGGGACTCTGGGCAATCATATCTTATATTTAGATCTCAGCTTCCATCCTTCTCTGAGTTGAAGATCTCTGATTAAAGAGGTATTTATTGATCATGCCCTTTAGAGGTGCCTTGTTTGGGCAAAAAGGTAGCTGGAGAGGCAAACCAGGGAAGCTCCAACCATTTTGGTGGAAAAAATAGAATAATCCCATTACTAAATAAAACTGAACATCTCTGAGTTGATGAGTCACAGGCCACTGATGCTCATGAGGGGAAGGATAACAGTTGCAATCACTAGTGTTCATTGAGCATTTGTTGTATGCCAGACATGATGTTAAGTTCTTTATGTGAAACATCTCACAAGAGGCTAACAGTAGCCCCAGAAGATGCAAACTCAGGAAGAGTGCTGGGCTGATATGTTTGTGCACGTGCGTGCGTGTGTATGTGTGTGTGCAAACTCAGGAAGAGTGCTGGGCTGATATGTTTGTGCACGTGCGTGCGTATGTGTGTGCGTGTCTTGCTCATTGCATGCTATTGGATGGAGATTTCTTGGCTAGGAAGTGCCCTGGAATAATATAACCAAGTCCTAGGCCTGCCTTCAAGGTGCCAGAGAGCAGCAAGTATGTGGGCAAACCTCTCTGGGGCTCAAGGAAGTCTCAGCCTGTTCTCTTTGTGAAGTGGACCTCTGCATTGCTAGGTATTTTGTGTGACACAACTCTCTCTCTCTATCTGTCTTCCCTCCCTCTCTGTTTCCTATGAGAGATCAGACAGTGAAATGCGCATCGGTGATTAGAAACAACCCATAAGACCCAGTCTGATGTAGGGATTGGAAGGAACTCCTTGACAGATCCTCAGAGCTCAAGTCCATAGACTCCTAACAGCTCATCTCTTTTTACCTGTTGAAGGCTGAAACTCAAGAAGTCCAGGCAGGTCCCTCAAGAATTTATCCTATTTTGAAGGATGGAAGGGGACACCAGTAGTGCCCTGGACATGTGACTCAAGATACAGTCTATTGATCTGTAACATCAGCACCATAAGGAGCTTGTTAGAGATGCAGATCCTTGAGGCTCACCATAGACCTGCTCAATCAGAGAGGGTTTCTCCCCAACACCACCCAACACCCCAAGCCTCCGAGTGCTCATGGAAGGCTGCCAAGCAGTGGTGAGATGTTCAGTCCTGCTACTGAATGAAATGGCCAGATTCCTGCAAGGAAATGACTGAAAGGATAGCCACCTCTGAGTATTTGCAACCTAGTTCTCTCACAGATCTTCTTCCTCTGCAGTGCCCTGAACATCAGCGTGGGTGGAACAGGCATGTTCACTGTGCGGATGGCTCTGTTCCAGAGCCCTGCCTACACACAGCCCTACCAAGGCCCCTCTGTGATGCTGTCCACGGAGGCTTTTCTGTATGTGGGCACCATGCTGGATGGGGGTGACTTGTCCCAGTTTGTACTGCTAATGACCAACTGCTATGCCACACCCAGTAGCAACTCCACAGACCCTGTGAAATACTTCATTATCCAGGACAGGTAAAACAGTGGATTCTACTTGGGGGTCATGGATGGGGCTTGGGGATATGTCTTTAGAATTAATGGGGGGAAAATAAACTTTTATGTTCGTGATCTTATAGATTAAATTTATCATTCTGGCCTATGCTGAATACAGGGATCTATCTATGCTACCTAGTAGTTTTTAGGTGCCATTTCATTAGAATTCTCCCTAGATCTTATTATATAATACATTATCAAATGTATTGCAAGTGTATAAAACACATACCAAATGCTTAAACATTTTAAGACGTGTACTTCGTCTTAATTGATTTTCTATGCATTCCTCGAGATAGCATTGTATCTGAAGAGGGTTGCATGTGTTCACTGGAGGACCAAGTGGGCATCCCTGACTTAGAACATATAAGAAATCTGATGAAAAGGCAGGCTTAGAGCAATAGGCAACCAGGGCCCGGCTAGGAAGAGTAGGTGATGGACATGATTAGCCAAGAGCAGTTGAAACTGGGAGTGTGTAGATGTGCTGTCTCTTCCTTAAAAGACCATAGATAAATTAAACAGATATTTTGAAAGTTTGCTGTGTACCAGACATTGTGGGTACCATGGTGAAGAGAAGAGATGAAACCTTCTACACTCATACAACTTAAATTCCAAAGGCAATACAGACAATTAAATGAAAGTGAAATATGTAGCGCATTCGTGAGGGAAAACCTCTTGGACAAATGAAGTCGGGGAGGGAGAGGATTTTCAGCCCATGGTGCAGAAACTTCCTAGAATGCCTGGCACACATGTGAGCGTCTTCTGCATGTCGGTTTGTTTCTTTTAGCAGCTGTGTTTGGATGCCGCTATGGGCATTACAAATGGGTGCACACACGTCTGTTGGCTCAGTGGCTGGCTGGACTCCCTGGCTTCTGCTGTTTTAGGCACATATTAGATAGCACAAAATAGTTAATGGTTCTTAACTATATTTTCTTGGCAATGAGAATGAACTTCTGGATTGTTCCAACTCTGTGGTTGAAGAATTTTATCTTTTTTCTTTAGCCTCAGACACAGGTTGCATCTACTGTGTGCCTCACTCTGTTCTAAGCACTTTGGAAAACTAAGTTAATCCTCACAATTATCTTTTGACATTACTCCTATATGCATATGGAGAATTTGAGACACAGAGAGGTTTAATGGGCTGCCCAAAGTCACACAGCTAACAGGCAGCAATGTGGTATTTAAGCCCAGGAAGTAGAGCTCCAGAGTCTTGTCTTCACCAATTCTAGTCATATGTCTTAATGTTCCCCATTCAGATGTCCACACACAGAGGATACAACCATTCAGGTGATGGAGAATGGCGAGTCCCCTCAGGGACGATTTTCTGTTCAGATGTTCCGGTTTGCAGGCAATTACGACCTTGTCTACCTGCACTGTGAGGTGTACCTGTGTGACGCTGTGAATGAAAAGTGCAAACCTGTGAGTCATGCCCCCACTACAACAGCCTGCTGGAATGCCCATCTCTATCACTAAGACATTTGGCCAGAACCATAAAGGAAGACATGCATCTGGGGTGTTTTCCTATTTTAACACAAGAGCACAGAGCTGCAAAACAGAGTGGGCAAGGCCAGTCAGGACACCTGTGCTACCTGGAAGTCAGGAAGTGGTGGTGATCTCGGGGGCTTGGCTGATAAATTGACCTTATTTGCAAGCTGCAAGCTTATTTCCCAATGACAGAAACTTAAACCTTCAGTGTTGTATGCAACTCAGGTGTTGTAACGTAAATTCCCCCGGGGGAGGTAGTACCTCATTTTCTCAATTGGAAAAGCTGTGAGAACTTAAGTGACTTGGCCACAGTCACAGTAAGGGGTAGGGCTGGGATGTGATCCCCTATCTCCAGTAGGAGGCAGGAGGATGCTTTTCTGAACTGGCTGCTCACTTCTCATGCGAGGATCACATGCCAACTTCTCCATCCATGAGTGATTTTCTATGTCACCCTTCCCTTGCAGACTTGCTCTGGTACCAGAGTTAGAAGTGGGAACTTCATAGATCAGACCCGTGTCCTGAACTTGGGCCCCATCACACGGCAAGGTGAGAGATCTATTCTTTTGTCATGTACCTGAATGGGGAAAAGGCAAGGTGGCAGAACCTGGCTTCTTAGATCTTACTGGGAACCAGAGAGTGAGGAACAGTGCATTCTCTGGTGTAGGGTGGGCTATCAGCTGCCTTCCTCTTTTACCAGTTGTAGTGAATTCATTCATTCATTCATTGATTCTGGTGTAGGGTGGGCTATCAGCTGCCTTCCTCTTTTACCAGTTGTAGTGCATTCATTCATTCATTCATTCATTCATTCACTCATTCATCCATTGCTGAGACTTGCTTTACTTTGATTTAGTATCTTGCGACAAACAGAACAAATCCCGCTGCTTTAGATCTTATGGAACAGTACAGGAAACACTGTCCAAATAGCATCATTCAGATGTGTAGAACTGCAGTTGCCTTAAGTACAGGAAGAAAGTGTAAACAGAGTTTGAAGCTTTCTGACAAGGGAACCGGACCTAGTCTTGGTGATGGGGGAAGACTAAGGAGAAGCAGTCTGTTAGGAGAACTGAGGGCAGCTAGGCCATTGGTGGTCAATAAACTTGGATAGGTGAGGCTAGCTCTGTGGGGATTTGTAGATCCTGATAAGTTTTAAGTCTTTCTTCTGAAGGCAATATGGATGTGGCTCTATGTGGATCCAGTGCAGGGGAGTGATGTGACCAGATCTGGGCTTCAGAAAGATGACCCCGGCTGATAGAGGAGAAGATTGAGGGAGCTTTTCTCAGCCCCCTTGCAAGCTATGCGCCTCACTTCTCACAGATCTTTCTGTTTCTCCCAAAGCTATCCAGGCCTCTGTGTCCAAGGCTGCTTCCAGCGACTTGAGTAAGTTTAGGTCCTTTCTGTGTGGTTACCTGATCCATGACACTCCTCCGTGGCTTCTATCTGGGGGTCTTAGTGGGTTGGAAGGCCTAGCCTTAAGAGCCTGAGCTGCCAAGAGGTGATGGAAATGCCTCGACCTTGCCTGTACTCACACACACATTTGTGCTGTCTCATAGTAGTGTGTGGGAACACAGATGTGACCCAACAACCTGAGAGAATGCAGTATCCAGGTATGTTTGCACACAAGTTCATATCTGTACACAGATGCTACACACCTTTATTTCTGTATGCATACTTGTACATATCTGAATATACACATATCACACACATTCCTATCTGCACACACACTCATGTGCACAGGGATCATATACATGTCTGTACACAAACCATAGACACCCATATACACACAGATCACACCCATTCACATCTGCACATACATTCATGGGCAAACAGACCATATGTACTCAAATTTGCACATAGGTTACCCACTTTCACATTACACACAGATCATACACACTCATATCTGCACACAGACTGTACACACTCATATCTGCAACATATCACAATACTCGTAATGTACGTACAGATCATAAATGTTCATATATACACATGCTCATCACACACATTTGTATCTGCACACACAGATCACAGAATACATGTGTCTTTATACACAGATGTACACACAGCTGCAGTTGTCTGCATGCATGTTAGCTGCTCAGATATCCACATATATTTATTATAACCCTGTTTCCCCAAAGATATGCACACCTGTCCTTTTCTTTGCTCTTCCTGAAACTGAGACTCATCTCTAACACCTTCAGGAGCTGTTCTATAGGTCACAAATATTTGTTGAGGGCCATTATTTGCCAAGAACCACGCTTAGTAGTGCATTGAGCATACCAGACAAACAAGAAACTCCTTTTTTTTTTTTTTTTTTTTTGCTTCTTCACCAACTAAACACACAACACAGA